CAGGTTCGGGCGCAGCGGTCCTGTCTTGAGGACCACCGTCGACGTCCTCCAGTCGATGTCAGGGTTCCAAGTCTGCAGCCAGGGCATGCCGAGAAAGGCGTCGAAGCTGCCCAGCTGACACAGGGTGAACACCAGTCGCTCCTGGTGAGTCCCAATGCGCAAGGTCACTTCCTGCGTGTCGTCCTTGCTGACATGCCTGGTTCCATTGGCGAAGACAAACTCCACTGGGTACTGGCGTGGTTGGACGGCGATTCCATGGCGAAGGGCGTAGTCTCGGGACAGGACGTTCATTCTGCTTCCGGGGTCGATGAGGGTCCTAGCCGGCCGGCCGTCGATGGTTCCACGGAAGGTAAGGAGGCGTGCCTGTGATGTCACTGCATCCGTGGCTTGCAGCAACACCGCCTCCGTCTCGCCAGTAGGGCTGGCGGGCCCTACTGGCGCGTGCCGTTTCCCGACCGACGGTCGCTGGCGTTCAGCGGACAGTCGGCGGCGAGGTGGCCTTCGCGTCGGCAACGGAAGCAGGCGCCACGGCGCCGAAGCTCGTCGCGCTCTTGGTCAGTCAGTCGGCGGAGGGGGCGCTGGGCACGGATGGCGTCGATGTCCATGGCGCGGTCGTCGAACTTAGGTGGCTGCGTCGGGGGCGCTCCACGGCGGTAGGCCGAGTTGGCCGTGGTGTAGTTGCGATCGTAGCGTGAGGCCAGTTGGTAGGCCTGCTCCAGAGTGTCGGGTCCGTGGAAGGAGACTTCCTGGCGGGTGCGCGGCCGCAGTCCGTGGATGAAAGCTTCAATGCGGTCCAGGCGTGACATGTCGTCGATCTGCACCATCAGCTGTCGGAACTTGAAGACGTAGTCCTGCACGTTGCCGTCTTGGCGCAGTCGACGAAGTTGGTCCCGCAGTTGGCGTTGCTCATCGATGGTCTTGAAACTCGCGCGGAGTTGCTCCTGAAGCTCATGCATGTTCGTCGGAGCTGGATCGAGGCTGCGGTACCAGGTGAGGGCGTGCCCTTGCAGGCAGGAGATGGCAAGTAGCAGGCGCTGGTCGTCGTCGTCGATGCGATGGTACCTGACGAAGGTTTCCAAGCAGAACAGGAAGTCGTCAGCTCGTTCGCCCGTTGCACCCGAGAAGGTCGGTGGTGGTGGCCCGCGTGGTCGACCGGTAGATCGCGTTGGTCCTTGTGGTCCCTGCTGAGACTCATGCACAGCGTGGTTAAGTTGTGCCGCTTGCGCCATGGTCTGTGTAAGCACACGCATGTGCTCAATCATCTCGTGCCACTGTTCCTCCATGTTGCTGCTTGTCCGTGGTACGTGTGTGTGTGTGTGTCAATCGCTACCAAGTGTGACGGGACTGTGGTCGAGGTGTGTCGGTGGCTTGTTCTGTGTACTGATGTGAAGTAAACCAGGGAACAAAAGAACTGAACAAGGCACAGACAATCACGTGAGATAAGCGACAACAGGGTGCAGGGCAACACACACGTGCTAGCAGGCAACAAGAGGGGTGCTTGTGGTTAAGCAAGGGGGAAAACAAGAGACAAGGGCAACAGACGTAACACAGCATGCAGGCATGTGTCGTGCCGTCATCTTAGTTGATGACGGTACCGTGCCAAGGGCTCGGGATCGCCGCCGAGAGGCAAGCAGTTCCGAGGCACTGGGCACGGCGTGACACGACACAGGCAAACGCTACTATACGACACTCACGAGTTAAACATGACGTCAATCAGGCTAAACATGACATCAAACATTAGGAGAACAAAGAACATGCAAGGCAGTACGGTGCCGCGAAGGGCAAGGAAGGGAAAACAATGGGACACAGCGGGGCAAGGTGCAGGGAACGGGGAGACCGAGAGAGAGAGAGAGAGAGAGAGAGAGAGAGAGAGAGAGAGAGAGAGCGGCAGGGGGAGGCAGGCGAGCGACGTTACAAAGGCCATCTCCAAGCGCTTCAAGATGAAGGACCTGGGCAGCCCAGACATATGTCTCGGCATCAAGGTGCAGCACAACCGCAAGGCCAGGACCGTCACCATGAGCCAGGAGCACTACCTGCGCAACGTGCTGGAGAGCTTCGGCATGGCTGACTGCAAGCCTGTCGGCACGCCGCTCTGCACGGGCTACGTCGACAAGCCAGCCGACAAGGAGGAGCCACTCCCGGACGTGCCGTTCCGCGAGCTGCTTGGCTCCCTCCTCTATGCTGCGACGATGACGCGCCCAGACATCTCGGCGGCTGTCTCCATCCTGTCTCGCCGTATGCAGCACTTCGGCATGGACCACTGGAAGGCTGCCAAGCACCTTCTTCGCTACATCAAGGGCACCTTGTCCTACACCATCAAGTACGCCGCCACTGGCGACACCGGCAACGGCAGCACTGCCGACGGCGTGCTCTCAGCGTACTCGGATGCGTCGTTCGCCTCCGACGTTGACACGCGACGTTCCCGCACGGGCTTCGTCGTCTTCTGTTCCACGGGCCCCGTGTCCTGGAACTCCAAGCTGCAGGCCACCGTGGCCACAGCCTCCGCCGACGCGGAGTACATGGCTCTCGCAGCCACCGCACAGGAACTCATGTTCCTTCGCCAACTCCAGGCGGAGCTCACCGGCGCCGTCCTGTGCGAGCCCACGCTCGTCCACACGGACAACCAGCCGGCGCAGCGCGTTGCCGAACACGCCGCCTCGCGCATGCGGCACATCCTCGTCAAGTACCACTACATCCGCGAGTGCGTCGACACCAAGAGGATTGTGCTGAGCTACCTCGCCACGGAGCACATGATCGCAGATCTCCTCACGAAGATCCTCCCTCGGCCCAAGACGGCTCAGTTCTGCACGATGCTGTTCGACCAGCGTCCTCTGCCAGGCTGCCAGCCACGGGCCCGTCCTCATTCGGGTCGGTCGCCACGTCCTTCGACTCCGCGTCAGGACCTCTGAGCGGCCGCGCACCACAGGACACGCCTTCACTCGGGCCAGCCTTCCACAACAGGCTGCGCACCACAGGCACCAACCATTTTCTTAAACGTGTTTCACAACACACGCCCTTACTCACATCTCACCTACATCTGCCCATGCCATTCCAACATGCATGACATCACCATCACCATCAATCACGTTTCAGAACATCAACGCAACAGAGAGGTAGGTCAATGCGGGGGAGTGTTGACAGGCAAGTCCTGTCTGCTGAGTCATCATTGACCTCCCTTCTTCACGACACCACAAATTTGCATTCACCTCTCTTGTGTTCTGGAATGTTCACGTCATTTCCCTCCAACCTGTTGCACGTGCAGTGTTTAGCTTGTGTGATTGCTCGATGTTACATGCTCTTGCATAACACACCACATAACCACACAACTCTCAACAAACACTGCCACGTCACCACTTTGCGTTGTCGACAATTCTTGTCTTGTGCTCTGTTTCTTTCTGTTGGAGTGTTCATTCATCCTACATCCTTGTTTGCTTCACAACTCAAGTAAACACACACAACTTCCTCTTGCCAAGGCAATCTCCCACACAACACACAGCACACACAGCACACACAGCACACTCTGCACACACAGCACACACACACACACACACACAAGTCTCCAACAACAGCACCACCACCATGAACTTGCAACATTTACTACTCTTTTCACACGTCTTTCGTGACCGAGCCTTGTCGCAAGTCTTTCACAACTTCTCACACCTCATCCCAAATTACATTGCTCCGCAGTGTTGCATTGCTCTTAGCAGTATCCTTTGCTCTTGGCTTGTTTGTTGTCACGCTACGTAGCAACCCTCCTTTGTTTTGTTTTCGTTTTCCTCTGTCTAAAGCCCCTACGGCTTTTGCTCCCGTACTCGTGTTTCTCCCTGCTTGTTCTTTCTGTGCACTCGCTCATGCCCTTTTGTGCGAGTCTCTTTTGTCTTGTTCATTCTTTTGTTTTACTGTTTGTCTTCGACAACGACCACAGTACACAGTCCATGATCTTACAGTTGTAACACGACAGGTGTGTGTGTGTGTGTGTTTACTGTAGGCAAACGCAACAAACAAGAACACAAGGAGAATGAACAAGCACAACAAGCTGCTGCCAAATCAACTCGGGCAGCACGCTCAAACGAATACAAGACAAGTGCACACACAGAGTCAACAGAGCTGCCAAGGCGACATGGCAGAGAGTGCACGAACACGAACAGTCTAAACAACGAACAGCATGCATACATGCGCGCAGAGCAATGCCAGGCATGGCATGAATGCTTGCAGGCAAGCATACACAACAGACAACACTTCACAACACTACATGGCACGAAGGCATGGCATCCGCCAAGCATGACGGGCATGCACACACACACAAACACGGGAAGGAGGAGAGGAGAGGCAGTTGGCACACATGCATGCCAGCAGAGAGGAAGGAATGTTTGCAAACGGAAAAACCACAAAGCAGGTGTTGTTGGCAAACAAGACAAAACCACATGAGAAGGCAAATTAGGAAGGACTCAACACAAAACAGAAACTCACTGACTCTCAACAAGTAGGAACGGCGAGCGTGTTGTGAGCAAGGGCAACAGTAAACAAGTGACTTGATCTGAACAAAGGGGGACATAATGAATAAGGGGTGTCCCGAACGAAACGAACAAGGAAGAGTTGTTCGCGTTTAGGATGTGACGAAGTGAATGACATCACTACAAACACCCTCCCCTTTTTCCTTCCTTGTTCAGTTCACACAATACTCGTTCATTCTCCAACGAACGACTGGAATACAAAAGCAATTTTCACCAAAACACGCAACCAACGTAAGCGAAAAACATCAACCAAAACACTGTGACATGGTGTTGTTTCTGTGCCAGGCGCGAGTCAGCGTCCGCTAGATCACTTCTTGCAAGTTGTCCACACAGAAGGTCTCCGTGAAGTTGTAGCAGTTGAGCAGGCCACACCACGAGCAGTTGATCTGCAGGCCAAACGACCATAGGTAAGTAACAAGCCGTCAAAAGCGAGAGGCAAAACAAACAGCCACTTGAGTGGCAGGAAGGAACTTACGGGTAGGCAACAAACACTTCTTCCACACATACACACGTACATCCATCCATCCATCCATCCATCCATCCATCCATCCATACATACATACATACACATACACAAGGCACACACGAACCGTTCTCGTTGCCAACAGAATCGAAAGTACAGTGATGAGGGCGACGAGCCCGGGAAGGGCAATGAGGATCAAGGTCCGTTTGCGAGCCTGTGTGGGTACGTTCGGGAATCGGCGCAAGTCAGAAGGCAACAAATCGCAACCAAGGGCAGGGCACTCATGGGCGCACTACAGCCACAGCAAAGCATGCACTCCAAATTGCAGCACACGTACCGCGTCCCACTTGCCAAACGTGATGTAAGGCAAGAAGACAATCGAGCTGAGGATGCCAAATGCAAACCCACCCACTGCAATCAGAAACAACGCGATCAACAACGTTATTGGCGACGGGTGTAATTCAAAGGGCAAGGGCATGGGGTTGACAAGCATTGGGTTGTGGCACGCCCTGGCGAAGCGAGAAGTGGAAACGAGAGCAACAAGACGTACAGTGGGACCAGTTGTCAATGTACGGGAGAAGGCCGACGGCGAGTGCAACAATGGCGATGAGAAACAGCTTCAAAAACTCCTTCTTCGGGCTCTCGAGCAACTGCCAAGACTGGAACAGCTCCACAAAAAGACAGCCCAGCAAGCCATACAGGGCGGGAGAGGCCCCAGTTGACACCTGTGGCAAGATGGGTGCAAGCCACCACAGGAAAAAAAAAAAAAAAAAAACAAGTGCAAGTCAGCATTTGCTTGTGTCGTCAAAGTCAGAACGACAATGACACATGATGACAGTCACAATGCACGAAGTAGACAAACGTGAAGCATTCCACCGTTCACACCCTTGTTACACTCATTGAGAATGGTGGGGGGGGGCAAGGTCACGGTCAGCACGCCGTTTCTCCCGGCAGGCTCACCTGGTAGGGTGTAAAGTTCGCTGACACAAGGTAGCCGCCGATTCCAGCGAGCATGTAAATGAAGAACATGCGAAGCCAGCCGGCCAGCTGCTCACACCGAAACCCAAGAGAAGACGGGCAGTGAGCGGGTGTTGCATGCTCGACTTGTGGCAGAGAGTGTGACACGAAATACAATTACACACCGCGAGGCGCACCTTCTCGATCTCAACGGCGAAGCTGTGTTGCATCAACACAACGAAGAAGAGATGCACAAAGCCTAATTCCCCAACATGTGGGTTGCAAGTTCAGGTGTGGTGCATTCATTGTTGGGAGAGGGAAAGTTATGGCAGTCAGCAAGGAGTTCAAGCTGAAGTGACACAAAGTGGAATCACAAGTGGCGTGCTGCTGGTGCTTCGTATTGTAAGCGCGGCACTCACCGACGTGAAGGAACATGGCCAGGTACAGGCGATACCACTGGTCGGGCTGTCAGAGAACACGAGTGCCACGCGACAACACAAGGTAATGATGAGAAGGTACCGGTCCACGCACACGCGCGCTTGTGTGTGTGTGTGTGTGTGTGTGTGTGTGTGTGTGTGTGTGTGTGTGTGTGTGTGTGTGTGTGTGTGTGTGTGTGCGCGCGCAAGTGACCATGGCCGACTCAGTGTTCACCAGACAAGGCACACCTACCCTATCTTCGTGAAGGAAATTCACCAAGCCGCAAACACTCTGCAAGCAGGAGACCTGATGACCAAGGACACACAGACAGACACACACACACACACACACAACGCATACACAAACCGGGTAAGTGACTGAAGGCTGTTTGCGAAGGAGACAGACAAATTAATACACGATTCAGGAAACAGGAATACAATCAAGACATACTGCACATTTCTCCTGGTCACAAGCAAATGTGAACAACATGGGCGAATGGCTGATGGACAGAGTGAGCGACCCGCACCTGGGAGCAGAGTTCTGCATCTGGGTGGTAGTGGCCCTCCACAAACTCGCAGTACTGCTGGCTTTGAATTGAACAGTCACCAGCAAGGGAAGTGCAACAGGGACGGGCGCTGATGGTACAGGAGCAGCTTGGGTCCTGCGCTGATTCGGCGGGCTGGTACTCACAGTCTGGATTGTTGCAACAACACAAAACGGTCACTACCTTATGGACAGCCAACGAGCCACAACACCAGCAGACAAGAAACACACACATGCACGCACAGATAGACAGACACAGACAGACAGACAGGCAGATACAGACAGACAGAGAGGCATAAACGACAGGCAGATACAAGCACATATACGCACACGCAGCACACGGCTTACTTGGATACGTGGCAGAAGCGTTGTTGCGATAATCCTTGCAGCATTGAGGGCCACCACAGATTTTGCCAGGCTGTGCATACAACAAGTGAAAGCGTCCAGGCCCGCGAGGCCGCAGTGAGTGGAGAAAATGCAAGCTATCATTGTGGTTCCTGCCCGAGGATGAACAAGAAAAGAGACGCAAATTCGTAGCGGAAGCGTTGGGACGCACGCACAATGAAAGTCCGGAAACCCGTGCAGTCATCCGCTGAGGAAGAAAAGCAATTGCCGTCGGTCGCGCCTTGCTCAACGCAGCATCCGAAATCCTGCAGGCGTGAATGCAGTTGAGCGATGCTAACGACTCCACCAGAAACGCGCAATAGACATATGCACAGAGCTCTGAAAAAGCCGTGCATACAACAACAACACACACGCACATACCTGTTCTGCTTCTGCGATGGGCTCAACGACCTCCGTGTAGATGCGATCGTCGCGCCGCATGCAGGGCGTGAATTTGGCGCCCATGAGCACGAGCGCCGTCGGTGATGGGCCTGAACGCACACACGTCGACAAATCAAACAGGCTTGTCAACGGCGATGGGTGCACAGCATGTTGTGCGCAGACCCTCGCAAAAACGAAGAGAGGGGGGGGGAAGGGGCGCAGAGCAAACGCCGTCCTTCCTCATCCCGCGTTCCTCATCAAGCAAACCCACCAATCCAGAAGTTGGCCTCCTGCTGATAGGATGCCTGAACCGGGGTCCCATCAGGCCCATCAACAGATGCTGTTTTTGTTTGGGACTGCGCACACGTAGGTGGTCAAAAAGACAACGGAGTCGTATTGTGAGCAAGCTCACGGCCGCCACGACTGCAATTTTGTTGACACACACATACATACCTACGCCCACACCCACACCCACACCCCCTCCCACACCCACCCACACACACCCACACCCACACCCACACACCCACACACACACATTGTTGAACACGAACGCGCACGCGCACCTCGATGCCAATGGGAGCGAGGCCATAGACGAGGACAGCAATGATCATGACGGCAATCTAGAGGCAATTCATCAGCGGAAGTAGCGGAGAATCGCGATGCATGTGAGCACAATGTCAACGCAGACAGTATGCACGCCACCTCTCCTTCAGATTTTGCTGGTCCAACCTGGCAAAACGACATGTAATAAGTGAAGAAGGGCCGGTGCTCGCGAATGGACGCCACTTGCTTCTGCAGGCGGGTATTGAAAGTATCAGCAGCATCTGTTGGTTTCATGCGGCTCTTCGCCCTTGCACGGCGCTTCCTGTCCGTTCCAGTCCCGCTGGCCGCCGGTGCGTTCGCCTTCGCAGCAGCAGCGCCTGTGGTGGGCCGTGCCCGTGATGTGGATGACGCTTCTGCCGTCGTTGTTGCGCGCGGGCGGCGACCAGCCGGCTGTGCCCGGCGTGGATCAACAGCCACATCGCCAGTCGCAAGGGCTTGCTTCTTACGTGGCTCACGCTGCTGCGGCCGCTGCTGCTGCTGCTGACGAGGATGATGATGAGGAGATGGGGGTGGAAGCGGAGACGTAGACACAGACAGACAGACAGACACAGACAGACACAGACACAGACACAGACACACAGACACAGACACAGACACAGACACACAGACACACAGACACACACACACACACACACACACACAAAACAGACACCGACAGCCCAGTTAGCGCGGGCAATAATGTGAGGGTACATGGTACACGGGTGGATGGAGCAACGCAGGAAACACAGACGCTACCAGCAATTACAGCAATGCGAGCAGGGCGGGCAATGTGAACCCACCGGGGGACGCCTGGCGGCAGCGGCTCCTGCGGTGGTCACGGCGCGGGCGCGGGGGGCGGACGCGCCTGCCTTTGTCTGGCCGCAGGCAAGTGTCAGTTGTTTTAAGGCAATGGTGCGTTTGTATGTATGTATGTATGTATGTATGTATGTATGTATGTATGTATGTATGTATGTATGTATGTATGTATGTATGTATGTATGTATGTATGTATGTATGGATGTATGGATGTATGGATGTATGTCTGTATGTATGTATGTATGTATGTATGTATGTATGTATGTTTGTATGTATGTATGTTTGTGCGTTTGTGTGGAAGTGTGCATGTCTCACCGGCTGAGGGCGCGTGGCGGATGGCTGTGCAACTTGCCTGACAATGAAAATACAGCACGTTGTGTTCGTGTGAGCTGGTGTGGTGATGGGCAAGGAAGTCACCGCAACCATCACATGTCCGCTCAAGCGAAAGTGTGAGCAAACGGCAGGAAACGTACAGCCAAACAAGCACTCACTTGGCTGCCTGCGCAGCAGCAAGGCCGGCGCGTCCACGCGAGGGATCGGCACCAAACTGGATCAGGCCTGCACCGCCAACCGCTCATCCGCACGCGTGAGCAAACTACACACGCAAAGTGCACTGCAGCCAAAACACAAACATCTGCTTATTGATGGGTGCAGCTCAAAAGTGCAAGCGTGTGCATCGCTGCTTACCTGGGCTGCTACGGTTCTTGTCCTGCTCATGGGACTGAGGGGGCGAGTGGTGCCACGAAGCAAGTTGAAACAACTGTCAGTTGCACCAAAGCACGCGTGATGGGCTTCAACATCGTCCGTATGGACCCGGGACAACACAGAAGCGCGCGCGCGTACACACACACACACGCACACGCACGCACACACACACATACACACACACACACACACACACACACACACACACACACACACACACGTACGCGCACACACACACGTGCGCGCGCAAACACCAAGACACGTGACATGCGTGCGTGACAATACCGCTGATCCTGGTGGGGAGGTGGAGGACACAGCACGCATCTGCAGTTGCTCAGACTGCATGGACGAGCGCGAGGGCTGTGACAGCAGATGGCCAAGATGGCACAATGACGTGAGAGCATGACACACACGTTGGGTGTGGGACCGAAAACACACACACACACACACACACACACACACACACACACACACACACACACACACACACACACACACACACACACACAGGGAGACATCGAGGCATGCAGTCACAGAGAGGCAGACATTTTGACATGGACACATAAGTTGGGGGTGGGACATACAGCCTGGGAGCGCCGGCGAGCCTTCTTGATGGTGTTGCGCAGTGCACCAGCAACAAGGCGGCTCACAGGCATCAAGTCGTCCGGCTCAGGCTCCTTCACGGAAAACACGCGCTGCAAACACACACACACACATACACACAAAATGGATAGTATGCGTAAGCAAGCGCTGTGATTCAGGTCTGTGAGTGTCTGTGCAAGGCAAAAATCTGATTCATACCCGCAGGCTGCTGCGCTTCGACGCGTTGTCTGGCAGGTTGTCGTATGGGTGTTCGCTCTCTGCATTGGGAAAGGAAGGCATGAGGGTTGGAGCAAGGGTAGGTGCCTACAGAGGGTGCATGCAGCACATGCGTGAGACACGGGTACAGCAACATACAGCAAGCGTCAAACATACGTTCCGTGACCGCCGAGGAATCCGACAAATCCTCCTCAAGGACTGTAGACGTGCACACGAACATGCCCGGCGTGGGTGAGCGTGAACTGTTAGATGACACTCCACTGAACACAGAGCCAAGGAAAGGAGGACAAGGGGGAGGTAGGTGCCAGACAGCCACAAGACCTGTGCTTTGTTGTGAAGGCTCTGCAACTTGACCTCCTGCAAATACGCACACACACACACATACAAACAATACACATCGGAACCCCGGCGAGGAAGGCATGTGAGCAAGCCAACAACAGAACCTCATCTCCGTCCCTTGCACTCCCGGCTTTCGTTTCTTCTTACAAGGGCAAGACTGCCTTTCCTACGCAAGTTTCATGTACGACTGAGCTGACCTGAGCGATCCACGCTGGCAGATGCCGCAGCGGCACTGTGGAAGGTGGTTTCTTCGATGACGTTTGGTGGTGATCCAGGCGTGCCCTCCACAAGCACATTTGCATCCAAAGTATCTTCATCTTCATCCTCAACAGGAACATCCTCCTCCTCTTCCTCTGCTCCTTCGTCGCTTTCCATCTCTTCCTCTTCGTCCTCATCATCCTCATCCTCATCCTCTTCTTCCTCATCTTCGTCACCAAACACATCATCAGCCGTGCCGTCGCCTTCACCCTCTTCTTCATCCTCGTCACCGAGATAAAACTCTTCCCACCGCGCAAGCTGGTCGTCATCGGAGACGCCAAAGAACTGCAGTGTGCACACAGACAGGCGCGTGCAAACCGGGGAGGGGAGGGGGTTAAGCAACTCGTCGATACATGTACATGCACCGTTGTAGTGCCACCATCGGCGGGATTGACCGCACAGGTGGGAGCGTAACACGCCAACTCCATGTCACACGAAACTTGCTCTGTGCGTGCGTGTATTGTGTATGCGTATTGTGTATGTGTAGTGCATGCGCGTGCGTGTGCGTGTGTGTATGTGTGCTGAAATGTGTATACCTTGGCGACGCCGGCCTTGAACTTGGAGGCAAACTGCGCCTCTTTCACAACGCCAAACATGGACTTGCGCGACCTGGTCACCAGCCACAGCAGTCATCCTTTGTGAGAACGGAGGCGTTGCAGCTCACAGAAGAACAGCAACTAACGCACACACACACGCACACACACACACACACACACACACACACACACACACACACACGCACACACACACACACACACACACACACGCACACACACACACACACACACACACACACACACACGCGCGCGCGCACACGCGCGACGCGCACACATACATACACACATATATATACACACACACACATACGACACGCACAGGCCATATTCGACCGCGACTTACGATCGGCCGCTGCTGGCCTGGCTCGTGGCCTGGCTGGCGGCACGGCGCCAGAGGGAGCGGAGGGTGGAGGTGGAGTGGCGCTTTCGTTGCGCCTCTTCGTCCAACTCGTCGTCATCGTCATCGTGACGAACAGCGTCAGCGATGATGGCCGCCGCCTCTGCTGCGTCCTCCTGCTCAGCACGGCGTTCCTCTGCCATGGATACCGTGGCGGCCGCGGGCGCATCGTCAACATCACCACCGTCGACGTTGACCACAGTGTCGACTGCATCGCGCTGCTCCTGCCCGTGCGTTGGCTCCCACTGATTCGTGCTGCCAGCCGCTTCTTCGACCTCCTCCTCGCCATCGTCGTCATCATCGACAACGACATCTTCGTTGGCAGCGGCGTCCATGACAATCACGCCCGAGGGCGTCTTGCTCACGGCGGCGGGGCCCTCACTGTCCGCGACCGCAGTGTCTGCTGGCGGTATGCGTTTCGTCGGCTGGTACGTCAGCGGCGAGCTCGTTGCAGTCTCAGCAGCCACGCCAGCCCCTTCTTGTTGCTGTTCTTGCTGTTGCTGCTGCCGCGGCTCATGTTCAGCGTGCTCCAGGGTCACGGCTGCAACAGGTGCTGGCTGCACATGGTCACGCTTGTTTTTGTCCTTGCCGACGTCATCACCGCTGCTGCTTGAGCCGCCATCAGAATCGCTCGCGTCGGCCTCGTCGTACAGCGCAGCCTCCATCGTCCCCGGCGCCTCCCGAAGCGGCGGCAGGCTGCCTGAATATGCACACACACATGTGCAATGCTGGACGTGAGCGCCAATCACACATGTGCAAGTACTGTCTTGTGTTGGAAGGTCGATTCTCAGACGCTTACTTTGCGATGTGACGTTGTTGACGTTTGGTCGGGGGCTTGATGGCGGCTCTGAGCCTAAGCATGAACATGGCGCGAAGCGCGCAAGGCACCGCATACAGCTGGTGAGTTAAGGCGCGCGGTGGCTTGCGGCATCAGTGCGCACGTTGGAGATGCGATTCGTCGGCAACAACGCAAGGTTCATCATGGGGGGACCACAAACGACAGACATTGCGGTCACAAGGCGCACCGCACCTTCTTCGATGCTCAGGTATGACTGCATCGACCCCTGGCGCTCGAGGGAGCGACCAGGCTGGTCCGATGCTGTGGTGGTTGGCATGCAAGATGGGTCATTTGAAGATACAGGGATATGTGAGCGAACACAGAAATGCAAGCCAACGCTTCGCGTTGGCATCGCTTCGACAAGACAAGCAAAACACGCTGCCCGTGCAAGTTGGAGACCAAGCGTACCCAATTGACAGCACAACACAACACAACGAGAACCACACGCATTGATAAAGAAAGTTGTACAGGCACACACACACACACACAGATAAAGCTGTCCAGGCACAGGCACATATGCACGCAAAACCACACACACACACACACACACACACACACACACACACACACACACACACACACACACACACACACACACACACACACACAGATTAAGCTGTCCAGGCACAGGCACATATGCACGCAAAACCACACACACACACACACACAGAAACATACTGAACCAAGCGCCAACATACAGGTATTGAGCTCGTCAACGTCGATGCTCGTGTCTGTATCGTCGTCTTGGGTTGGGCTGCGTCGATCAGCGGTGACCATGGCGTGCACTTGCGCACCACCAACAATGTCCGCACCGGTCGGAGTGTCGTTGTTGTTGTTGTTGTTGTCGTCGTCGTCGTCGTTGGCGGTGGAGACCATGCGTCCGTCCCTGCTCTCCTCAGCAGCGTCGGCCTCGTCGTCGCTCGGTGACATGTAGGCGTCGTCTGCGTCTGCCGCATCCTGGCGCCGCTCCGTGCTGTCGGTTTGCCCGTGTGGGAAGGGCGATGCCGGCTGGCTGCCGCTCAGTCGCGCATCCACTTGTTCAAACGACACCAGCTCTTCCTCTGCGTCGCCATGGTCTTCAGGCTCATTGGGAGGGGTCTCGTTCTCGAGTGTGCTTGCAGTCTCCACTGCGTCCACGTCCAGCTCGTCGCTGTCGTCATCAGAGCTCTCGCTGGCCTGCCTGCGCTCTGCAGGTGGCGGTGCCGAAGCCGGTTGCGCAGTTGCTCGTGCATCTGCGTGAAGCGTATCGTGGCTGCCAAACCCATTGAGAACCTCCGTGGGGTGATCCTCGCCCGAGTTGGCATCTGGATTGTCTTCTTCGTTCCCTTGATGCGATGGAGACGTGGACGCACTGGCCTCAGGTGGTGGCTGCGTCGTTGCTTCCTGCACACCCGGTGTCTGTGTCTGCGAAGGCGCAGGGCTTTGGTGCGAAGCCACACTCGCGCGGCTGCTGCCACTGCTGCTGGTGCCGGGTGAATCCCGTTGAGACGCTGCTTGTGCGCCCTCATCGCTGATTTCAGATGCACGGCTGCTCACAGAAGACCTCGAACTGCCTTCCGCCGTGCTGCTGCTGGACACGTCGTCAATGGCTGGTGCACCTGGCTGCTCGAGTTGTTGCTGCTGGTCGTGAGCAAGGTCAGCTGCTCCGTCTGCCTCCTCCTGGTGCGGTGCTGGTGGTGATGGCGGTGTTGCCATGGAAGGCTCGGCATCGAGTGGGTCCGATGGCGGCGCGTCTTGTTGTGGGTGCTCGCTTGGATCCATGATGACGTCGTGAGATGCTGACAATGGCAACAGGAGATGCTGACGATGGCAACAGTCGTGAGTTGACGTATGTGAGACGAGCCGATGGTCCTTTGTTGCCGTGTGAAGCCAATCACAAAGCACGTGGTATGCTGTGCAGTGCTGTGTATGGTGTGGTTGCTCGCTCGTCCTGGCTCAAGTTCACGGCGACCGAGGAGAGTGGGGAGGTAGGTAGGTGGAAGAAGAGAGAGATATCCTGCAGATCCAAGCAACAAGATGTTGGTCAAGCAGGTGGGTGGGGGTGTGCTTTGTTGTCGTGGTTTGGTTTGTCGTGGAATGATTTGAATGCTACGCTGGATTGTGGTTTTTTTGTGGGATGATTTGATGCACATCTAACAGGTGGTGCAAAAACGGTCAGCGAGCAAACAGCACAACAACAATGACGAGGGTGGATGCGGCGTGGGTTGAGGCGGATGAGGATGGCTTGCCCCGCAGTGAGACGTTCAGTGTGTCTGAGCGGCGGCTGGGCCCAAATGGAACGGCTGTCATGTCCTGGTGCCCTCGCATGGACCTCTTGGCCATCGGAACTGCAGCAGGCAGGGTGCGTCGCCTTGTTTGTTGTGTTTTGTGCGCGTGTCCGTGTGCATGTGCATGTGTTTGTGTGTGTGTGTGTGTGTGTGTGTGTATGCGTGTATGTATGGGGCTGTGTGTATGTAAATGTGCGTGTGTACGTGTGTGTATGTATGGGGCCGTGTGTATGTAAATGTGCGTGTGTACGTGTGTGTTCGTGTATGTGCATGTACATGAATGTGTACTTGTGTGTGCATGTGCGTGTATGTGTGTGCTTGTGTGTGCCTCGTGCACTGTTCGCCCTTCTGTCTCTGCCTCTCTGTCTCTGCCAATCTCAGTGTTGCACACCACTGTGACCCTTGCCCATCATCCGCTTCCTCCTCTCTTCTTGTACTTCTTGTACTTCTTGTTCTTCTTGTTCTTCTTGTTCTTCTTGTTCTTCTTGTTCTTCTTGTTCTTCTGCCTCCTTCACCCCCTTCGCTGCTACGCAGGTGTGCTTGTATAGGCACATCTGGCAGCGGGTCTGGACGGTGCCACCCGTCGAGGACGGTGTTGCTGTCACGCACCTTCACTGGCGTGAAGACGGCAAAGTGTTGTTGGTGGCGTACGGGAATCAAACCGCCAGGCTGTACGATGTGGAAAAGCCAACTCTACTTCACACCCTATCTCTGGACGGGAACGTTACCTGCTGCGACTGGCGAACACACCAGGTGGTGACCCCCCCCCCCAAACCAACATCACATCAGCCAATCTATCTCAACAGCAACAACACCAGACAGACATGCCACTGTGCGTGCGTGCGTGCGTGCGTACGTGTGCGTGCGTGTGTGTGTGTGTGTGTGTATGTGGATGTGTGTATGTGGATGTGCTTGTGCGTGTAATGGCTACAGGGAAAGCGACACAGGCACACAACCACTTTTCATGTGCACTTATTACAAGTCACATCTCGCTTCGCGCATGCACTGCCTGCAATACGCACACCCTCTCAAGCATGCATCACGCACACCCTCTCGAACATTCATCACGTTCACCCTCACACGTTCACTGTGGTTTGTTTGTTAGATCAACGTACGTGACGAGAACGGCAGCAGAAACAGCAGCGGTCGCACACAGCAGGACGAACCTCCTCTGCGCATGCTGAAGCCAGACAGAGCGCCGTTGACCCTGCGCCGCTTTGCACCAAAGTGTGAACCCAACCAACATGCTGTGTGTGTGTGTGCGTGCATGGCTGTTTGTTTGCCTGTGGCCATGGGTCTCTTTCTGTCTTTCTCTGCCCCCCTCTCTGACTGTGCTTCTTTCTTCTTCGTCTTCCTGGACACGTGAGCAAGGAGCGCTGCCATTGTACCCCAGCACATCTGGTGCTCAACTTCAGCGTGACACTTCCATACTGGCTAACTAGCACGCACACACACACACACACGCCAACACACACACATACATACACATGCACATACACATACACATACACACACATACACACACACACGCCAACACACACACACGCCAACACACACACACACACGCCAACACACACACACACACGCCAACACACACACACACGCCAACACACACACACACGCCAACACACACACACACGCCAACACACACACACACACACACACACACACAGATTTGAGGTGCCATCAACGGTTGAGGGCGAAGAGTTTGTGGATGACACCGACCCCGCCGCGGCCACAGATTCGACATTCAATCTCCTCGCTGTGGGCACAGGTGGGAGCAGCGTGGTTTGCCGACAAACAAACAAAACCAACAAACACATACACGCACACTCACCCACTAAGAGATGCAGACACAAGGTGCGTCACTTGTGTGTTTGTCTTTGCAATTTTGTCTAGACTCACCATGAACAACCGTCTCGACACACCCCAACATCACATGCCCTGACACGCCAGACGCCGGAGTTGTGCTGCTGTTTGGTTGCGGTTTTGTGCTCCTTGGTCACTTCAATTGCTCGGAAACAGGTTTGGTCTGGCCCCTGTACTTGCTGCTGTGTATTTCAAACTCCCGTCGTGGCCGTATGTTCGCCTGAACTCCCTCACACGCGCAGACAGAATACGCACACATATAGAGGCACAGACACAGACACAAACACAAACACAACCACAAACACAACCACACACACAACCACACACACACAGACACACACATACACACACAACCACACACACACAGACACACACACACACACAACCACACAAACACACACACACACACACACACAACCACACAAACACACACACACAACCACACACACACACATTCTCTCTCTCAAGCCGTTCCTGTCGCCCCATGTGCTGCGTCGTGCGCTCAAACCTGCAGATCGCGGAAACATTCGAGGTTTGTCGCTGTCGTTTGAATCTGCATCTCTGGCCATCACCCACGACGGCGCAGACAACAACATCGTCACCCAACAGGTCTCCACCACCACCACCGCCGGGCTGCCCATTACAAGGAATCTCACGGCTACCGTGACCTGCCAGTGCAGTCTGTGTGATACTTCTCGACTGCGCGCACACACTCACCAGCTCCCCTTTCTCCCTGTCCGTCTCTCTGTGTCTCCTCCTATCTGTCTCACTCACTTTGCGCTGTGCATTGCATCCTCTCTGAAATGACATTCATCAGGTGTCACTCGAGGGTGTGTGCAGCAACGTAGAGGAGATGCTCAGCTTCTGCGTCGTGCAACGTTCTTGTTCTGCGACTATCAAGGTTCGACACCAACATGTACTTGCTGTTCCTGAGTCTTTGCATCTCCGAACCAGCAACCCCCAGCGCACCCTGCGCCATTCATTTGTTCTCTGCAAGTCTCCATTGAAGAAGACAGCGCTTGTTGTTCACTCCAACATGCGTTTCATCTATTTCTGTGCCAAAACTGTCATCGCTTGTAGTATCTGGAGTGCACACTGGAGTGCATGAAGGCCACCTGGCACTCGTTTCTGCTTGACCTCGACGACAGGTTCTCCGCCTTCCTCAGGGACACCGCGGTAGGCACGCCATGCATGCTGTATTTTCTCTTGCGAAGGGAACTGCGGTTTCCACCACATTTGCCGCGACTGGGTGTGCAGGGTGTCGTTGCCATGTTCATCAACAACATGTTGCTGACGAATTGCACGTGCTGTTGTGTGCTTGTCTATACGGCCCTCTAGCCTGGGGTGAAGCTGCACGATGAGCTTCTAGTTCTCCTCGTCACGGGAACAACGCAGAGGTACCAAAGCCACAACCCTGTCGTCCAACCAACCACACATACACATACACATACACATACACATACACATATACACACGCACATTGGAGCTTTGCGCATGGTTGTCTGAGTTGGTTCGCGATGCCTCGCCATATGCGCTCGTCGCGACTCACCCATCCACACATGTGTCGCATCCCGTGCTGCGCCCTTTGTGTTGCGACTGCGTCAGCCTTGAGCTGCAGGCGTTTCTGACGCGGGAGCTTGGGCGGCGGTCGCTGCAGAATATGGTCACCGAACTCAGGGACTCCTTCATTTCCCTGGAGGAGGTACTGTGCTGTCGGCGCATGCATGCGCAGACACAAAGGATGGGCAGCCCAAGCAGACATCACATACACACACCACGTCAATCATGCTTCGGTCCTCCTCATTTGTGCTCTCCTCCTCCTCCTCCTCCTCCTCCTCCGCTTCCTCCGTTGGGCGACAGCAGAACAGGAGTAGAACGTGCTGTCTTGCACGCCATGGCCGACACCGCACCAAAGGTGACGATGGGCGTCTCTTGACATGCCTGTGCCGCCGTTGTTGTGCAGTGGCCATGGTTCCTCACGCAATGTGTGTGTGTGTGTGTGTGTGTGTGTGTGTGTGTGTGTGTGTGTGTGTGTGTGTCTCTCTAAGATCCAGGCCGCAGCACGCGTACCAGACCAGTACCGCTAGAGTAAAAGTGAGGCTGTTAATGAATCGAAGGAACCCGCTCTTTGCTAAGACGGCGCGACGGTGGCTTTCGAAGTGTGTTCTATGCCTTCCCTAACCTCAATACCTAGTGTGTGTGTGTGTGTGTGTGTGTGTGTGTGTGTGTGTGTGTGTGTGTGTGTGTGTGTCCGCTGTTGTTAGGGGTGCACGGAGGAGGCATTGTGGCAGGTTGTCAAGGGCACCGTGGAGACGCCCGCGCCGTCCAAGTTCGATGTGGCGGCTGCACTCATGTTGCTCGAAGACGAGGTTTGTATCGAAGACAGAGCCACACACACGCACACACACACGCACACACACACACACAAGCACACACACAAGCACACACACAAGCACACACACACACACACACACACATATATATATATATATATATATATATATATATATATATATACATACACAAGCACACACACATACATACACACACACGCACACGCACACGCACATAGACGCAGACACACGCACATAGGCGCAGACACACGCACATAGACGCAGACACACGCACATAGGCGCAGACACACGCACATAGACGCAGACACATGCACATAGGCGCAGACACACGCACATAGACGCAGACACAAACGTTGCGGTGCCCATTTCTTCTTGCCCCACGACATTGCCAGTCACACGTCAATGCCCGCTTACTTGAGACCCTCTCAATGTATGTTTAGGGTGCAGTTGTGTGCGATGAAGGCACAGGCATGTACAAGCTGAACTGCCCGGCGGGCGATGCGAACTTGAAAGAGGTTGAGAGGGTGGTGGGCACGTTGGGACGCCACGTGCTGGAACAATCACTCGTCGACGTAAGTCATCCGTTTGCATGTTGGTTTTTGTCCACGCACTTTGACTTACAACACACGCTGACTGTGTACAAACGTTTACGTGTGTGTTTGTGCGTGCGTTTGCTTTGCTCTGGTCGTTTGGACAGTGCCTTCCTCCACTACAGACTGGGCTGCAAGACGTGTTGACGGAGAAGCAGACGCAAGTTAATGCGCATCTGCAAACCCTCTCCTCCCATCCTCTGGGCAGCAGGTGAGAGTTCCAAAAAACTGCGACTTTGGTATTGGCGCCACACAACATGGTCAACGCCTTTAATTGTTTTCAATTAGAAGTCGGATTCTGTGTGTGCGCGCGCGCGCGCGCGTGTGTGTGTGTGTGTGTGTGTGTGTGTGTGCGTGTGTGTGTGTGTGTGTGTAGAAACAAGTGAAAATGTCACGTTTTTGGTTCAAAGCTGTTTTGTGAATTCGCTGTGCGCTCACTACGTTATCATTGGGTTGATGGCTCTGATGAGTGCCAGCACACCATCTGTTGTAGGAGCACGGGCGTGTATGTGCGACAGCACAGAAGGTGCGTGTATGTATATATCCCATGGTCGCTATATGATCGTTGTTCGTTGTGAACGGCGCGGCGCCCCTGCGAATGGGCAGAGAGAAAGGGCGGAGGCGTCTTCCTGAACTACATCTCATCGTGTACAACTGTGTGTGTGTGTGTGTGTGTGTGTGTGTGTGTGTGTGTGTGTGTGTGTGTGTGTGTGCGTCTTGTCCATGTGCGATCTCCACCAGTGCACCGCGTGCTGCTACTCTCTGCAACGCAACACGATGTTGTCGTTCTCGAACAAAGCGGCAGCGATGATCTTCGCGCTGCACGTCTGCAGTTTGGCGACGACATTGCGGTGCGGCCCAAGCTTTAGCTCTACTTGTGCTGGAGCCATGGATGGAGAGAGCGAGAGAGAGACAGAGAGACAGAGAGACAGAGAGACAGAGACAGAGACAGAGACAGAGAGACAGAGAGAGAGACAGAGAGACAGAGAGACAGAGAGAGAGAGTGTGTGTGTGCACGTGTGCGTGTGTGTGCACGTGTGTGTGTGTGTTTGAGGGCGAGTGATGACCGTGCTGATCCAATTGTTGTCGCCTGCTACTGTGATGTGTGCATTTGCACGTGTTTCCTCGCGGTCATTTCAGGTTTTGGCGGCGCAACTCTATGACGACGATCAAGTGGCAGCTGTGATTCAGCTTCGCCAACGTGCGTGCACAAGTGCATGCATGCGCTTGCACATGTGTGTTTGGTTGCGCGTGTATGCGTGTGGATGCGAGGAAGGCCATTGCACGCGCACTTGCGATCACCAGCAACTGATATTCGCAATGTTTCCTGGACTTTTATGTTCTGGTGCCGTGCAGAGGACCTTGTCTTCTGTCTCTTTGAGTACGCGGAGCATCTGGAAGCCATCACCGCTGACGACCTTCAAGGCCTCGACTCCCTCGACATTGCATCACTCGATGACGTGTCATTCCGACGCCTGGTACAACGCTTGTCTCCTCGTGTTCTGCTCTCATGTCGTCTTTGCCGTGCTGGTCGTTGTGTCGTTGATGCGTCGTTGTTCTCTTGCCGTGCTCTTACAATTCATATATTCATATGTTCTTGTGTGCATTGCGTATGTGTTGTTGTTGTTGGCCAGACGACGTTGCCGTCACCGTCGGTGTCGCTCGCAGTCGGTGCCGGTCGCCAACTTGGTGCCGTCTGCTCATCCAGGTCAGGGCGCGTGTCTGTGTATCTGTGTGTGTTTGTGTGCGCGTGTGTTTTTTCTGCCATGTGTTCTCAAACCCTGCCTTCTCTTGTTTGCATGCAGGGAGCACTTTGTGGTGCTTGATCTTGGCGCTGACGATGAAGACGATGACGACGATGAGGAGGAGGACGAAGAAGGCGATGAGTCCGAATCTGACGAGTAGACTGCAGTTGTGTAGTTGCGCACGGCGAGCTTGTGTAATTGGACCTCTCATGCCCAGCAATAAACAGCATCGGACAACCTTGATTGTGTATTTCTGCTGCCTCAAACTATCACGCAGTGCCCATCCCGTCTTCAGCACACACACACAGACACACACAGACACACACAGTTACACAGACACACATCCACACAGACACGCACGGTTACACAGACACATACACACACAGTTACACAGACACACAGGCACAACTCAAGCCATTGTGGATTTGCTGAAGAGGTCAACTGTGATTGCGGAGAGAAAGGCGGGAATGGAGTGGAAACGGTGCAGATTCGCAAGAATGCGCTCATCCAGCGATGCGGAGAATTGCGTTTCAAGGAGTTGCAGCCCTTGCGGAGACGAAGCAAAGAGGAGATAGTCATCGGCGGACTCCGCGTACATCGAGTGCAGCCGGTACCTTGAGGCTTGTACCACGTCAATCTGGTAGCCCAGCAGCTCGTAGCACGCTTCGCGGAACTCGCGCACGTTGTTGTTGAACACCTGAGTTGATCGTCAGGAAACCCGTGCGCACGCATGGCGGAAACGGAGGGGTGCAGTCAGCTGTGCTACGCGCGAGCAAAATGGCAAAGGCGAAGTCACATTGCATGCACGCACGCACACACACGCACACACACACACACACACGCACACACACACACACACACACACACACACACACACACGCACGCACGCACGCACACACACACACACCTTTCTCGCGGGCATCACGTTGACGGGCGAGTTCAATTTGCTCGCGCTCAAGCTGCGCCTTGACAGCCTTGAGCTCGTGCTCGGCGTGCAGCTTCGCGGCGTGCATATCGATCTTCTCTGCCTCGAGTGCCATAATGCGGTGCTCCATTGCAGCCACCATTTCGTCGCGCGTTGTGGACAACGACGCGTTCGACAGGTTGAGTGCGCGTTGTGTAAAGCTGCTGTTTGCAGAATCAGCGGTGCCTCTGCCGGAGTGCCTTGCGGCAAGGTTGCCGCCGGTGGTGCTGCTGAGGTTGAGGGAGTCATCATGTGCCCTTGCGCTGCCAACGAGACTTCCTCCAGTGGTACCTTGAACGCTGGCCAAGTCATCATCCTCCTCCTCTTCCTCGTCATCGGCATCGGCGGCGTCGTCCCGCACGTGCGATTCCAGGAAGCTGCCCGCCCTGCTCGCGGCAGCACTTGGACTCACGGCGCCCACTTGCCTGCTGCTCAGCCCACCCCGAAATTGCTGCTGTTGCTGCTGTTGCTGCAACTGCTGTTGCTGTTGCTGTTCCACAAATGGCCTGGCTGGTGATTCCATGAGGAAGTGTTGCAGCCGTTCGCGCAAGGCACTCGACCTCCACGTCCTCGACGATGCTTGTGTGTATTGCTGCTGCTGCTGCTGCTGCTGCTGCTCGTGCCTTGCAGCTGACGACAGGTGTGGCCGTCTACCGGACGCTCGCATGGGCCCACCGTGGTGGTGATGGTCCCCAGTGCCCGCGTTGCCAGCGCTGCCAGTACTGCCAGTGCCGCCCGCGGTGCCGCCTCGCCGCGACCGCGTCGTGTACGGCGCATCCCGCACCACGCCTCGCACCATCGTCGCTGCTGCCGTTTTCGAGAGGTTGTTAAAATTGCCTTTGGATTTGGTCAGGTCAAAGGCAAATTTTGCCTTTCAAGAGAGGTTCACGCATTTCCTGGCTGGCAACCGCGCACCCACGCCAAAACAAAGCAGGACAACCCTGCCTCAGAGACCACACACGCCAGACCAAGCAACAAGGCTGCACCACTCCACGCGGCATCGAGGTTGAGACGCTGACGCAGGGGGCGGGGATCAAGGGCAGCTGCGCGTGTTGTGTGGCCCGTGTGCTAGTAGTAGTTGCTGCATCATCACGATCGCAAAGTGACAGCAGCAGCAGCACCACCACCACCAGCAGCAACAGCACCTACAACACAGCACCAGCAACAGCACCATGGAGAGCAAGTATGAGAAGCAGCGAGTGCTGGGGCATGGGACGTTTGGGCGGGTGTGGCTGGTGAAAGGACGTCAGGATCACAAGCTGTACTGCATGAAGGAAATGGATGTGGCCGCTCCTGGCGCGGACACGGACGCCCGCACTGAGGCGCAGGTCCATGCCGGGTTGCGCCATCCTCACATTATCAGGTCAGCGTTGTGTTCGTTTATTGCACACGGCTCTGCGCATGTGGCAACTGCCAGGCGCCTACCGGGGATTTTTGATGTTGGGCCTTTTGCATTCAGATCCACGGTGGACACACAGCTTCGTCTCGCTGTTGCACTCTCGCACGTTTCTTCATTGTATTTGTGCTTGCAAGTCTTCATTGTGGCAGCAGCACACTGCTTTCATCCATTCATGACACCCTTTCATTGATACCCTTTTCCTTGCTCTTGTCGGTCGCAGCTACGAGGAAGTGTCTCGGAGATTCAATTACGTGTATCTGGTGATGGAGTATGCTGCACAGGGCGATCTCGCCAGCCTTCTGACCACCCGCTCCCGCACGCGGCGGCCGCTGACGGAGGAGAACGTGCTGGTGTGGACAAACCACATTCTGCAAGCCCTGGCGTACATGCACAGGCGCGGCATGGTGCATCGCGATGTCAAGTCTGCAAATATCTTCATCATGGACTCTGGCATTGCCAAGCTGGGTGACATGGGCTGCTCCAAAGTGCTGGAGCAAAATGCCACCCGCATCGAACAGCGCACGTGCTCAACCCCTTGCGGTACTCCCATGTATCAGGTACGCAATTTGTGCGTAGGGATATGTGTGGATGTGTTTGTGTGTGTGTGTGTGTGTATGTGTGTGTGTGTGTGGATGTGAGCGGATGTGTGTGTATATGTATGTGCGTGTGTGCATGTATGTATGTGTGCGTGTGTATGTGTGTATGTGTGTGTGTGTGTGTGTGTATGTATGTGTGCGTGTGGATGTGTGGATGCGTGCGTGCGTGAATGTGTGCGTGGATATATGTGGGAAACTGGTTTGGAATACGCGCGCCTGTCTGGTCATATGCTTTCTCATTGTTGATATGCTCTTCTCTATTGGCTCATTTTTGTCACTCCTGCTCCTGCTCCAATCACCGTGTTCAGTCACCAGAGCAGTGTGATGGCACGCCATACACACAGAAAGTTGACATTTGGTGGGTGCATATCCTGCTTTGTGCATCTTGAACGCCAGCTCCCTTGCCACTGTAGTAGTCTGTCACGATCGTCATAGCACTTTACACCAAATCACCCATCTTCACCATGTGTGCACACGTGACGCATGCGCTCACGTACGTTTGCATGTTCTCTTTACACCACCTCTAAATCACCCTTCGTGCGCCTCTCCCCTCCTCCCTCCACACAGGGCACTGGGCTGTGTTGTGTACGAGATGTGTGCATTGCGGCCGACCTTTGATGCCCGCAATATCCACGAACTTGGGCGCAAGATCAAAGGTGCTGCGTACAACCGCAAGCTGCCCGCCGTCTACTCGCAGGTTTGATTGTGTATACCGACAAACGCGCGCGCACACACATGCGCACATACATACACATGCACACACATGCACATGCACACAGTGGCACACATAGTGACACACATGCACATGCACATGCACACAGTGGCACACATAGTGACACACACACATACGCACACACACACGCACGCGCACACACACACGCACACACACACACACACTCACTCACTCACCCACTCACTGCCGCCTTGGTTTACGCTGCAGGATGTTCGCTCACTGATTGACACGATGCTGACGATTGACGTGTACCGGCGGCCGGCCGCGCGCGACCTCGTTCGGCGGCCCTGCATCGCCAAGTACTCTGGCTGTCGCGCCGACGAGCACGGCGCCGCCGTCCCCTTCACCTTGGTGAGCCCTTGCGTACGCGTGTACTTGTGTGCCTTTGAACATTGAGCTGTGCTTTGGTCTAGCACTCCTCTCTGTGACATGCACACAAACACGCACACACACATATGCAAACACGAACGCACGCACACACGCATGTGCACACACACACACACACGCATGTACACGTACACACGCATGTACACGTACACACACACACACACACGCATGCACACATTTTACACGCCAGGGCGATGAGGTGAAGCGGCCGTCGTTCGAGGAAGAGGCGGTGCGATTGCCGCAGCGGCAGGTCGCATTTGGGCGCCGCAGTGCAGAGGAACCAGCCGGCGACCAGAGCCCGCACGGTGGCCACGCGTCTCGTGCAAACAGCGGGAAGAGCAGCAGCAGCAACAACAACAACAACAACGACAACAACAACAACACCACCACCGCCACCGCCACCGCCACTGCCAACAACAACAACAGCAGCGGCAGCGGCAGTAGTCGTAGCATTAAGGGAGGAGTTGGTGACGGAGAGACCACAAGCCAGCCCTCCTCACGCTCCCCAAGCGGCACGAGGCGACAACCCTCGCTCTCACCACGCCGCCAACAACTTGAGCAGAGGAATGCAAACAGCGATGGTGGCAGTCACACCACAGCCACGGATGACACCACTGCCACGACAGGAGACGGCAGCTACACTTCTGGCAGGGATGGGCGTGCGGGCGTCGCTGCGTCTTCGCGACGACTGCGCGCTCCCCCGCCGTCCATGGTGGCCAGCGGTGCTCCGCTCGCGCCCGCGTATCCGCTCAACCGGCACGTCCGCCACCAGCACCCACAGCTCAACAAGCAGCAGCAGCAGCAGCAGCAGCAGCAGCGTGGTGGTGGTGATGGCGGAGAGGCGGCAGTCCGACGGTACCACTCAACACCAATGCGGCTGCACCCATCTGCACGACCAGAGCGGAATGCGCACAGTGGCGACGCGCTGGGCCGCTCCCCGCTCAGCGCACACCAGCACCACCGCAGCCGCCACCACCGCGCAGCGAGCGACGTCAACGTGGCGCGGCACCCCTCGGCCCACGCGTCCGTGTATGCGTCGCCGTCGTCGCTATCACCGGTCGCCCGGTCGCCGGCACGCGGCCAAGGCACCCAGCAGCAGCAGCAGCAGCAGGAGGAGGAGGAGGAGGAGGAGGTTGGTAGGGGCATGAGCAGGCCCACATCCCTCCATCGCCGAGGGTCAGCGTCACTCTCTCGCGGAGGCATGCGTCACCTTGACCGGGCACGGAGCACGCCATACACGAGTGGAAGCCACCCGTCATCCCCACACCTCACCCGCCAGCAGCAGCAGCAGCAGCAGCAGCAGCAGCATGTGCCGGGTGATGTGGCGACGGGGCGAGGGCGCTCTGCCTCGCGCTATTCGGCACAGCTTCCAGCCATTGGAACACACGAGCGTGCTGCTAGCGGCGGTGCCCCCACTCAACACTACCACCACCACCACCACCACCAACACCAACAACAACAACAGCAACCGCAACAGCAGCAACCGCAACAGCAGCAGCATCAAGGCACTAGGCGAAGCGGCGCTGATGGAGGCGTGTCGAGTCTGCGAAGCAAGATGATTGCGGCGGGGCTGTCACCGCAACAGCAGCAGCCGCAACAGCAGCCGCAGCAGCACCTTGGGGTACCACGTGGTGGGAAGCAGCAATGGAATGTGCCGACGGGTGTGTCATTTCGCCCTCAGAACATACGGCGCCACAACCCATCGCTCTTTGGCATGAACAGACATGCGCCTCGATGAGGCACATAGCAGTGCAGCGTGACGTCCGTGTCCTCGGTTGTTGTGATGTTGCGATGTGGTGATGTGGTGCGTGCTTGAACGGCGCTACTTGGTGCTGGCCGGTGTTGATGCGCACGCGGTTGCGCTGATGCGTTTTCCACTGATGGCACTCGAGGTGGCGTTGAGGTGGACCCGAACACCTCGTCCTTATTACAACTCCTTCTTCTCCATGACCCTTGTTGCCAGGTCATCCGTTAGCCGTCCTTGCCCTCTTCTTCTTGTCCTTTTTGTGCTCTTTCTTGTGCTCCTTCTTGTGCCCTTGTTCTTGTCGTTCTGCTTGCGTGCTGTTGTGTTGGACAGCTTCTCAGTGTACATAGCGTGTGTTCATAGTGGGAATTGAATTGTGTACGTACACAGTTTGTTTCCCTTGCATTTCATTGCGTTTGTTGCGCGTTCGCCCAACTTGTCGTGCAGACGGCACACACGGCAAAGGGCAGTAAACAACCCTCTCCATAACCGCGCCTGGCGGTTGTCAGCGTACCAGTGTGGACAATGAATGAATGTGCTGTTTAATTGTGGGGAGACGATGATGCACATAGTGTGCAAAGCCAGTGGTTGCATCACCGACAGCAACAAGAACCAAGCACGACTGAAATGACATGACACAAGGACAGTGTCACTCGCAAAGGGCGCACAGTCACACTGCATGTAGAACAAGCAAACAGAACGTGTGTGCAAGAGACTCGCACATACACGCACACGAACAGACAGACACACGCACACACATACACAGGCAAGCTTCAATCACTGACTCACAACAAGGCCGGTGAGCCACACGCACGCACACACACACACACACACACACACACACACACACACACACACACACACACACACGCACGCACACACACACACACACACACACACAGGTTTCCACACTCAACTCCAAACAACCCAGCTCCCATGTTACATGGACACACGCATGCGCACAGTGTCCACAGTGTGCAGCAGATTGAAGGACAATGGAAAGAGCGGGGTGGCACCTAATTACAAATGGGCAAGTGTTGGTTGGTGGAGAGAAGGAAGCGGAGCACATCGGGGTTTACTGCGCACCGCGGAACTTGGCCACAAGCACTTGCTGCATCTCGATAAAGTTCTTGACGCAGTTTGAGATGCACGCCGCAGTACGGGAGTCGCCGCCTTCGGAGATGGGCTTGGAACCAATCTTGTCCACGCACTTGTTCCAGCACTTGTCTGTCAGGTCCAAGGACACCTCAGCAAACTGGGCCTGCGACGCCTTCTGGCGCACGACAGCCTGCAATTCAGGGTCAACCTTGTCCATGGTGGTGGCTGCTTCGTCTCGTGGAGGGTGGGGAAGTCTGTGTGGCGTTGGTGTGTACCTGCGTGAGGGAGGGAGGGAGGGAGGGGGGGGGGAGCGAGCGCAAGGTAAGGTGTGTGTGTGTGTGTGTGTGTGTGTGTGTGTGTGTGTGTGTGTGTGTGAGGTAGGAGAGAGAGCGGTGTGGGGAGAGTGAGCAAGTACATGTACAATACACCGACACACAGACACACACACACAGACACACAGACACACACACACACATACACACACACACACACACACACACACACACACACACACACACACACACACACACACACAGACAGACAGACAGACACACACACCTACCTGTCTGTTGCTGGCAATGGCTTGAAAGTGGCACATGCGAAAAAGAAAAAGACGAAGAAGAAAGAAGCGAAAGCGTCCGGAAAAGACACACAAGCACACCACACACAAGACAAGGGAGATGCGTGGGTTGGTGCTGGCGAGGTTGAGGCTGGCAGGGCCAGTTGTGGGGACTGGGCGAGGGGCGCAGCAGCGCCAAGTGCAGTGGTTGCTGCGACAAGGCCGGCAAGTGCACGTTTGCGCGGCTGCGCTACGCGACATCGACGTGTCGGCGTTTGCAGAGTGGATCGGCAAGACAAAGGCCGTGTCGGCATCTGCCACCGTCAACCCACAGCACAAGTCCGCACGTCACCCCAGTCTAAGGAGAGGCGACCCAAAGGCAGGAAGCGCACCAACCGTTACACAACAGCAACAAGGACAGCAGCAGCGCTCACCGGCGGCGCAGCCTTTGGCGCCAGCATCTACGACACGCGGGCTCTTTGGACCTGCGGAGCTTGGAGTGGTCGGCAACAAGCCTGTGGTCACCGCGTCGACCTCCGATCAAAGCATCAGCAAGCGCAAGCAGTTTCGCAGCATCTACGTGCCTCCAAGCATCCTTAATGCCCTTGACGCACTCGAGGTGTGTTGTGTTTGTTGTGTGCACGTGCGTGTGTTTGTTGTGTGCATGTGTGTGTGTGTTTGTTGTATGCGTGCGTGTGTGCATGTGTGTGCATGTGCGTATGTGTGTGTGTGTGTGTGCATGCATATGTATGTGTGTGTGTGTGTGTGGCCGCGTTGTGACCTCCTCTACTTGCAATTCTCACACACGCATACGCATGCATGCATGCACACACAACAAACAACACACACACACACACAACCACAACACACACACACACACACACACACACACACACAACCACGTGCAGATTGGCTGGAGGCGTGGACGGAGACGGCCAGCGCTGGTGAAGCAGGACGTGAGTGTGTTGAGCTGATGCTGTGCGTAGGCATGTGGACGTGTGTACGCTTGCATGTACATGTGCGTGTTTGTTCGTGTGTATGTGTGCACATGTCCGCGCATGTGTGCATGTGTGAGCGATCTGCACACATTTGTGTCATTTGCTTGGCGTCAAGGACTGCTCCTGTGCTCATCGTGTGCTTCAACGTGTTTGCTTCTTGGTTTCGGGCGGCACACAGGACTGGCAGCATGTTCGCGAGGAAACACCTGTGTGGCGTCGCAAGCTTGCCTTCCTCGGTGCTGCCAAGCTCCCCCAGTCGTTCATACCAGCCCATGACGGCGTTAAGGAAGTGTGCTTCATCGGTACGTGGCAAAACCGGCTGGGTGGGGGCAGACAAGGGAGAGAGGAAAGTGGCAAGCGCACGCATGCACCCTCAACATGCCATTTCGCACTTCACACGCTGTCATGCCATGCCATGCTCACTGATATGTGCACTACCACTACTCCCTTCTTCTGCTACACATGAAGGCCGGTCAAATGTGGGCAAGTCGTCCGTGATTAACGCCCTGGGCCGCTCAAATCCAGCCCGCACAGAGGACAAGCCAGGCGTCACCAAGGTGCATAGACGTGTGTGTGTGTGTGTGTGTGTGTGTGTGTGTGTGCGTGTGTGTGCGTGGGTGTGTGTGTGTGCGTGTGTGTGCGTGGGTGTGGGTGTGTGTGCGTGGGTGTGGGTGTGCGTGGGTGTGTGTGTGGATGTAGGCACAAGCGGGAGAGTACTGTGTTGCCCTACCTAAGTCGTCTCTTTGTCCCCGGTGTCTCTGTTTGTTCTGTTGGCTCCCCTTGCTTTATTGGCGCCTTGGCTGACACGCGTGCCCGGTTCCTGGTGCTGGCCACGCAGACAGTCAACTTCTACGCGCTGGAGAAGTCGAGTGTGAATGTGGTTGATCTCCCAGGCTACGGGTTTGCATTCGCAAAGACGGACAATCAAAACGAGTGGCAGCAGACAGTGAGTGTGTGTGTGTGTGTGTGCGCGCGCAAGTGTGTGTGTGTGTGTGTGTGTGCGCGCGCAAGTGTGTGTGTGTGTGCGAGTGTGTGTGCGAGTGTGTGTGTGTGTGGTTTCATCGTCACTTCCACCTTCGCTTCCTTCGTTTTCGTGTTGTTTCGCTGCCCATGCCGACTGTCGCCAACACGCCCCTCATGTTGCGTCCTGCGTGTGGTTGCGCAGGTGGAGGACTATCTATCGCAGCGGGCGAATCTGCGCCGAATTTTCGTGCTTCTTGACGCGCGTCACGGTCTCAAGCGCATCGATATCGACTTTCTCCACCGCCTGCAGGCGACGACAGCTGTTCCGTTCCAGCTCGTCTTGACAAAGTGCGACCTCGTCCCCATGGATGACATTGGGCGCCGCCTCATCCTCCTCCAACAGGTACACGAGTGTGTGTGTGTGTGTGTGTGTGTGTGCATGTGTGTGTGCATGTGTGTGTGTGTAGCGAAAACCGTGTCACAACACAGTCTCATCGTGGTGCACATTGCATGTGTGCATATCTCGCTCCCTTGCAGACCCTCGTGGAGCTTCCTGGCGCCATCAAGGACGTGTGTAGTGGCAATGTTGGCCAATCCCTGCGAGAATATCGAGCACACATTGCGCGCGCACACACGTGTACACGCACACGTGTACACACACTCGTGTACACACACACACACACACACACACACACACACACACACACACACACACTCGTGTACACACACACACACACACACACACACGCACGCACACGTGTGCACACGCGCGCGACCATGCACTCATACGCACATACACACACACACACATACACACGCAGGTCATAACTGTGTCTGCGACAAGCGGTGCGGGCATGCGCGTGCTGCGGCGTGAAGTCATGGCAGCCACCAGCCTCAGGAGTGGACGAGTAACGGGTGCCAAGACTGCTTCAAGCACCAAAGACAGCAGCAGCAGCAGAGGCAGTGGCGGTGACAACCACCGGCGACAGGACGCAGCACATGCCGGCAAGCCCATGGGTTCTCCAACCATCACGTCAGCGACAGCAATGCGAACCGAGGGTGAGGCATTCACCACGTACTTCCGGAGCGGCAATGGCGGCGGCGGCGGCGGCGGCAAGCGGGCGAAGCAGCCGCGCTCACCCTCAGGACTACTGCAGCAGGCACAGCAGGCGGCACGCAGGGCACAAGGCAAGCGAGGAGCATCAAGGCCCGGCCGCAGATAGCCAGCGTGCAACAGCGTGGAGAGATTGTGTGTGTGCGTGTGCGTGTGTGCGTGTGCGTGTGTGCGTGTGCGTGGATGTGCGTGTGTGCGTGTGTGTGTGCGTGTGGATGTGCGTGTGTGGCGAGGTGTGAACGAAAGCACGGCATAACAATGCAACAACAAGTCCTGCAAGCAAGAATGAACAACACAAGCAGCAAAAGAAGGCACAAAAGGCGATCGTGCACGTTGACTTTTTCGCGTGTCGTCTTATCAAAACACCACCACCGCCAACGTGCCACTTGCAGCAGCAGCACACACCCTGCCACCCCTGCTGCGCCACTGTGCTCGTCGCTGCGTGCCAGTGTCAGTTGTGACCTCCGCCGCCCTCTCCTTCCGTGCGCTTTTCTTTCGTGCCCTTTGCCGCCTCTCTGTTGCTGCGCACCCTTGCCGATCCCCGCCCCTGCAAAGGCAAATGAGTGAGTCTGACACGAAGCGTGCCAACACCATGGACCAGCCCACGATCGGCACCCACGATGGCAGCTTCCACTGCGACGAGGCTTTGGCCTGCTTCCTCCTCCGCCTGCTGCCAACCTACAAGGACTGCGCCATCATCCGCACCCGCAACCAAGAGAAGCTGGACACGTGCACCGTGGTTGTGGACGTCGGCGGCAAGTTCGATCCCACCAAGCTGCGCTTCGATCACCACCAAAGGTATCCATCCTAGCCAGGGGTGGTTGGCGCTGCCTTCTCATCCCTGCGCAAGTCGGGCCTTGCCCCACGCATGCACAAACACACACACACACACACACACACATGCATGCTGAAGTTTATGCGTGTATCTCATTGAGCGTTGTGGCACCCACTGGTCCTCACGCACAACGTCAACGCACACATGCACACACATGCACACAAACATGCACCTGCACACAAACACACACTCACTCACTCACACACTCACTCACTCCCACACACACACATGCACACAAACATGCACACATATCCACACACATCCACGCACACACTCGCACACACACGCGTCAACACACATTCAACCCCCCCCCCTTTCTCTCTTTCTGTCTCATGCGCTGCACGTAGGGAGTTTGCTCACACCATGAACTCGCTGGACAACAACAAGCGCTGGACAACCAAGCTCAGCTCCGCTGGCCTCGTCTACTTCCACTTTGGTCGTGAGGTACAGCGATCAAACACACACACACACACACACACACACACACACACACACACACACACACACACACACACACACACACACACACACACACACACACACACACGTGCGTGCGCATGCCCCTTCACAGTTCCTTGTGCGCAGACAAGACGCCCACGTCCCCCCCCACCGTTTGACTTGCATACTCGTAGATCATCAAGGAGGTGTGCAAGACGGACGATAGCACGACAGAGGTGCTGTTTGACCAGATGTACGACAACTTTGTTGAGGAGATTGACGCTGTCGACAATGGCATCAGCCCGCACGAGGGCCAGCCCAAGTACGCATTGCCAACACACTTGCCCTTACCCTTCTGCACACGCCCTTGCGCCACTTGTGTGTGTGTGTGTGTGTGTGTGCGCGCGCGCTTGCGCTTTGACGTCCACCCCTGTACGATGCCTTTCTCTGCACCCTTGTCTTACCTTATGTGTGTGATCTTGGAAATGCACACAGGTACCGTGTTGCCTCGACTGTGGGCAACCGCGTGGCCCGCCTCAACCCGCCATGGACCGAGAAGAACCCGGACTTTGACGTGAGCCGACGGCTTGTTCCGACCTCAAGCTCCTGCTTGTGCCGCTGCCTTGCATGATGCATATTCTCTGAACACACTTACCTCTGGCTCCTTGCCGCTGATACTCACGTGCAAACTCATTCACATACACTCACACTGGAATATATTTGCACGCGTGCTGTTTGTGCGCAGGCCCAGTTCAAGAAGGCAATGAACCTGGTTGGACAGGAGTTCCTCGAGGTGCGGATGTCTTTGGCCTCTCCATAAGCCCCTCGCACGCACACACACACACACACACACACACACACACACACACACACACACACACACACACACACACACACACACACACGCACACACACACGTACGCACACACGCACGCACGTACACATCCCTCTCACCACGCACATGCACACGCACACACACACACACGCTCGCACGTGAATAGGTTCTCAACCACTACAATGACGTCTGGCTGCCTGCACGCAAGCACGTTGTCAACGCCCTCTCGACGCGCAAAGAGGTGTGTGCCTCCTCCCATTCCGTCACCTCCTCCGCTCTTCGTTTTGGTTCGCCTCTGGCTCGTCGACTCGCCCACTTTTCCCGTCCTACCATGTTCGCGCGCTTGCCTCATGTCATCACCATCACCGCCGCCGCCACGGCAACATGTGCAGGTTGACAAGAGCGGAGAGATCATTGTGTTTGAGCAGGCGTGCCCGTGGAAGGCGCACCTCTTTGCCCTGGAGGAGGAGGCTGACGAAAGTACGCGTGACGATGGTGGTAACAGTGGTGGTAACAGTGGTGATCATGAGCACTCGCGTGTGCCTAATGTAGGCACGTCTCGTGCATACATATGCCCGGTCTCTCCACAAACCTGCATGCTCTTTGTCTCCTTTGACTTACTACCACACTACATCACACCATATCGTATGATATCACCCACGCCTCACGTGCTGCTGTTGCCGCAACCTCCGCGCCCTCTGTCTCGCTGTGCGCAGAGATCAACATCAAGTACGCCCTCTTCACGGACACGCACGGCAAGTGGCGCGTGATGGCTGTGCCCGTGTCCCCCAGCTCCTTCACCAGCCGCAAGGCGCTGCCCGAGGTCTGGCGCGGTCTCCGCGACCAAGAGCTCTCGGACAAGGCAGGCATCCCAGGCTGCATCTTCGTCCACGCCTCCGGCTTCATTGGCGGCAACAACACAAAGGTTGTGTGTGTGTGTGTTTGTGTGTGTTTGTGTGTGTTTGTATTCTCGTCTGCCTGTTTGCCGTTTCGTGCGTGCGTGTCATCTACTCGTTTATGTTTGTTCTGCTATTTTTTCGTTCCTGTTTGTGTGCTCACGCTGCTGTGCCACATCCTATGGCAGGAGGGTGCCCTGGCCATGGCGCGCGCCAGCCTCAAGATGTAAACTCCACGCTGGCTCTCCCTCCACGCCTGCGCACATGCATGTCATCTGGTGTTTGTTCGGTCGTGTTTCTTTGGGTGGTGTCTATTCATTGCTGGGGGCTTTACTCTTCCTCTGTCGGTGTGATACCCATTCCATTGCACTGCACAAAGCGAAGCGCACACAAGAAACAACAATACACAACCCCCAACACCTGAGCAATGAGCGAGCACGGTTGGCGAACAAGTCGCGTCGCCAAACAGGCCCACCTCCAAACTGAGGATAAATAAGCGCGGGCACACGCCCACCTAGGACGAGTCCTGTGCACGGGCGGTGCGCTGCGGCGTTGTGTTGAGACACGTGAGGATGGTGGAGATGGTGGAGCCGACAAACCGGTGACTGCGCCCATAGAGCTGCTGCAGACGCACAAGGGCCTCCGTCACACCGGCGCCGCTGAACACGTCCCCAGCCTTGGATCTGTGCACACGTACACGCATGAAGGGCGGTGTGGTGTGCGATTGGTGGGGTGGGGGCGGTGAACATCATCGGTGGAGGAGGGAATGAAGCAACGAAGGGGAAATGGCAGCAGTGGCAACAGCGGAAGCAAAGAGCACAGTCAGTGTTCCCGCAAACGATTACATTCACTGAAAGCACATACACACATGCACCCACACGCACGCACGCACGCACGCACGCACGCACGCACCCACACGCACACACCCACACGCACACACGCACACACGCACACACGCACACACGCACACACACGCACACACACGCACACACACGCACACACACGCACACACACACACACACACACACACACACACACACACACACACACACACAGACCACTGCAAGCGATTCAGTGCACACGCGTGCAAGCCGCGTGGGCCAAGAAACGTACTCGCGTTGTGCAATGTGTTCGCAGATGACGAGGATCTTCTCGAGGACGGCGGTGTCGTGGCGGTCCGGGTCGGCACCCTGGTGCTCCAGCGACACATCCACCGCAGAGCGCAGCGCCCGCAGCCACGGACGCGTGCACAGCAGACTGGACATGGCTGCCGCGTTGGCTGGGCGGTGCGCTGGTGGTGGGGTGCAGATGTAGTGGCGTGGTAGGGGAGTGTGGGGTGGAAGAGGGGGGGGGGGGACAAGGTGTGTTGAGTGATATGGAGGGAGTGTGCTGACATATGCAACCTTCAGAGCACGGCTCACAGCGTACAGCAGCACGTGCACACCTTGCTCGAGGCAGAGGAGCAGGAGAAGATCGACGGTGCATCGGAGTGTGGAGGGCGTGGCAACAAGCAGACACATGCGCATCACTTCCAGACCTGGCCACCAAAACGTGTGTGTGTGTATGTGTGTGTGTGTTCAGGCGAACAATGAATGATGATCGCAAGTCGTCGCGCTGCTTCATCCCACACTGCCCACACCACAGCACAACAGACAGACAGCACAACAAACAGCAAGCACACACACACACACACAACACAATGGCGCAGCGCAACCAATGTGGCTGTCAAGTGCATTGGCGAAGTTGCACACCTTGGACGGAGAGAAACTCAGAATACGCAGCAAAATGGTGGAGGACTGCACTGAGATTGTTGAAGAGACGAACAATCGCGTCCGCTGGTGTCAACGACCACAAACCAGAGGGGTGGGGCGGTGGTGCGTGTAAGAATCGCTGACAGGTGAGAACGAACATACATACATACATACATACATACATACATACATACATACATACATACATACATACATACATACATACATACATACATACATACATACATACATATACATACACACATATACATACACACATACATATACATACACACATATACATACACACATATACATACACACATACATACACACATATACATACATGCATCACACAATACCCATATCAAACAATACACGCACGCATAGGAAGATGGCGAAACTCACCCTGTGATGTGCACTGCAGTTGGACGAGGATGGCCAGCAACAGCGCCCGAGCAGCGTCATCACCACTATCATCACCATCACCCCCATCATCACCACTGCCGCCATCGCCACGACTGGTGTGCGCCCTCCACAACGCGCTGCTGTTTCCGAGCGGCCCGTGCGAACGCGACAGCCCGCGCACACGCGCACGCGCATCCCTGCCCGCACCAGTGAGCGCCGAGGTGGCGAGCGACGCGGACGTCCCACCTGCTCTTGTCGATGCGCTGCCATGCTGCAGTTGGTGCTGCTGCATTTCGTGCCGGCTGGAGTGCTCGATTGTGCGCATGACAGCAGCGAGGCGTTTGAGTGAGCCGTGATACGCATGCTTATGTTGCGACGCGTTCAGCGCCTGCACACACCAGTGCGTCATTCGCAAAAACGGAACCACGCTTACGGCAGCGCTGCTGATGCTGTTGGTGCTGCTGCTGGTGCTGGCTCCACCAGCTCCACTCGATACACGGCTGCCATCAGCACCACCAATCGCTTCTTCGGTGTTGCCATGCGTACGCCCATCCCCAGCATCTGCAGACCAGCGCAAGATGGCCAGTAGTGCGCGGAGGAGGCGTGGTGCCTGGTCGCTCTCATCACCATCACCACCGCCACCACCATCACCGCCATTGCTCACAACAGCCGTGCTGTCCAATGGTGCTCGCGTGTTCAGGCTCGGTGCATCCGACCGCCGCTGCGCCCGCGCACGCAACGACGCTGGCAGGCTGTTGTTCAGGTGGTGGTGGTGAACGCTCCATTCCCTAATGCTCAACCGTGTGCACGTCTTCACCAGCGCTTGCACATTGGCATGGCGCAGGAGCAACGCAAGCAGAACACGGCACGCACGCGCCACCGACGTCACGGCATGCAATTGCTGCTTCAACGCCAATTCGTGGCCTTTGCGCACTTGATGCTGCTTCAGGTGGTGCTGTTGTGCGTCTTTGTTCTGTCCCCGCTTCTTGGGATGCGTGGTCTTGTAATGAGCCCCGTTTGTCGCGCTCTCTCGCGGTTCCCTCTTTGCTTCTTCATTATCACTGCCACTGCCACTAGCCGTTTCGCCACCGTGATCATCATCACCATCAACATCATCACCATCAGTGGCTTCACCCTCCCCATCACCACCCTCATCGTCACAGCCAACTTCATCATCGCGGCTGTTGACCGCGTCACCCCGAGCATCGACCAATGAGTGCTGCGATGCGTGCATGGATGTCCTCAGCGCGGCAATCCGCTGTTCTCGCTGCTGTGCTGTCCTTTGCGCCTCTGCCAACGCCGCCTGCAACTGCACATTCTCGTCGCGAAGCGCTGCTGTTGTTCGCCGCAGCTGTGCGTGTGTTGTGCGCAGCCGCTGCAGCTCCGCTTCCGCCCGGCGCGTTTTTGCCGCTGCCGCCTCCTCCTGTTGCTGGGCAAGCGCCTGCACCCGCTGGGCAGCAAGCTGCTCCACGTGCTGCTGCTGTTGTTTCTGCTGCCTCTCCACCTCTGCTGCCTTCTGCTTGACACGTGCCCACGCCGCCCGCACCTCCTGCTTCTGCTGTGCGAGGGCGCGTGTGCGTTGCGTCAGCTGGTCCACCAGGGCATGGATGGTCTTCTCCCGCGCCCGCACAGCGCTGCTGCGTTGCGCAAGCTCGTCTGCAATTGCCGCCAACTCCACTCGCACCACCTCCTCCCTGGCTTCATCAACAGCATCACCATGGCTATCACGGTCGCCATCAACGTCCACGTCATCGTCCGCATCCTCACCAACATCAGCACCAAGATCGACACCAACATCAACAGCCTCCACATCGCCCACATCACTGTAGCGCTCACGCCGATGGGTAGCACTGTCGTACACACGCGTGCGGCTGTTGCTGTAAACGCGATGACGGGGAGGTGGAGGCGGCGGTTGCCACTGTCGTTGTCGTCGAGCCTGCCGTCGGGGAAGAATGGAGGATGCGCGAGCAGCATTGTGGTCACGGGTGGTGTGCCCAGCGCTCGGGTGACGGTGGCTTTGTTGTTGAAACTGCAGCAACTGGCGCAAATCTTCATGCAGCGTGGGGTCGTTTCCGTCAGCAGGTGCGGCTTTGATATCAGCATCACCGCCCATAGGCCTGGATCTTGTGGAGGGCTGATAACCCCAAGCGTAGGGCACAAAAGCCTGATCATCGTCAACGTCGGCGGCGTACTCCTCGTACAGGCTCATGGCGTCCTGGTCGCCATACAATTCTGTGTCGTCTCCTCGTGCACCATCACCACCACTTGTGTCGTCGGTCTCGCCGGCAACCATAAGGTCGTCCGCCAGTGACGCGTCACTCAGGGCGGCGTCGTCGTCGCCGTTGTACAAGACAGCAGAGGGGCGCACGTTCGCGGGCAGCAGCGATGAAGATTCGCGAATGAGAACAGCATAGCGATCGCCTCGGTGCGAAGCTGAAGCACGCACCGGCAATGCCTGTGTTTCATCCGTGTAGGGCTGCGCCAACGACGTAAGCTCAGCAGACGTGTGCGGGGCCATGCTGTGGTGCTGCCCCCGTTGCAGTGTCCTCCGCTGCAGCTGTTGGAATAGTCGTTGCTGTGGATGTTGTGTGATGTGTGAATCGTGCAAGGCTGTTGATGTGCTTTGCACAAGGAGATCATCCATGTCCAGTCCGAGCGTGCTGATGTCTGCCTGCGTGGTGCTGGTGTGGTGGAGGTCCACTTCCAAGTCCTGGTGCTGTCTCGTTCTTGTGTTTTGTCTTGTCGCTTCCGCTGGGTAGACGTGGTGGTTTCCTTTCGCTGTCACGCCAACATCAGCTTCGTCTTCTTCCAGCAGTGGGCTGTTTGACAGCAGCCACATTGCCTTTGCCACCGCTTGACTGCCCATGCTGCAACTGTTGTGTGTTGAGTGGTTGTTGTTTGTTGTTGTGGTTGGTGGCAGTTGCGGGTTGTGAGGAATTGCCGTGTTTTCTGATAGTTTTCTTGAGCGGCAGTGGTGGTGGACTGAGAACGACGATGCTGCGCCGAGCGGTGCAGCGGGAAGGGCTGGTGAAGCCCGAGGTGAAGGTTGAGTTGGAGGAGGTGGATGAGTATGAGAGGGAGGCCAAGAACAACGAAGAGTGCCCACGGTGTCGCACAACTCGCATGCGTCAACCAAACCTCAAGCTATTTGTCGGGACCTGCGGCCACAGCTTGTACGTGCGTGTGATATGTGGTTGTGTGTGTGTGTGTTTTGTGTGTTCTGTGTGTGTGTTATATGTGGTTGTGTGCACGCGCGCGCGCGTGTGTGTGTGTTCTGTGTGTGTGTGTGTGTGTTCTGTGTGTGTGTGTGTGTGCGTGTGTGTGCGTGTGTTCTGTGTGTGTGTGTGTGTGTGTGTGTGCGTGTGCTCTGCGTGTTTGTGTGGTTGTGTGTGTGTGTGTGTGTTCTGTGTGTTCTGTGCGTGTGCAGCTGTGTGTACACGTGTGCGTGTCTACAGTGTGCGCGCGCCCTCTCCTTTTTGAATGTCAGAACAAACTCACACATGTACCCATGCACATCCGCCTCCACCACGCCTGCACTCGCATACACACACGATACACACACACGCACACGACGCACAGGTGCGAGGTGTGCTTGAATCAGGTGTTTCATAACACGCCGTCGTATCCTTGCATTGTATGCCGCGCGTTGCGATTGCGGGCGGATTACACACCAAAGCTGTTTGAGGACGGGTCGGTGCATCGCAACGTCGTCATCCGTAAGGACAAGCTGAAGGACCTCAACCTGAGCCTGGACGACTTCCAAGGCAACACGCGCAAGTACAACGACTACTTGGAGATGAAGGAGGACATTGTGTACAATCTCGAACACAGCATTGATGTGGACCAGACCCGGCGCACGCTTGCGCGGTTTGTGGAGCGCCACAAGGATGCCATTGCGGCCAACAAGCGCCGCCTCGAGCGCGAGCGCCATCGTCAGCTCCAGCTCAAGCGGGTCCGTCGTGTGTGTGTGTGTGTGTGTGTGTGTGTGTGTGTGTGTGTGTGTGTGTGTGTGTGTGTGTGTGTGTGTGTGTGTGTGTGTGTGTGTGTGTGCGTGCGTGTGCGTGCGTGTGTGTGCGTGCGTGTGTGTGTGTGAGGTGCTTGTGGGTTTACGAGTGTGCGTTATCCACTGTTGCATGTAACCCAATGCGTTCCCCAACCTCACACGGTTTCTCGCCTCAATGGTTGAATAGGAGCAAGCGCGGATTGAGCGCGCCAGACAAGAGGCGAAGCTGGCCGAGATCAGACGCGTCAAGGAGGCCAGGGAAAAGGTACGTTCGTGCATGTGGTGATTGTGTGTGGTTGTGTGGATGATTGTGTGTGATCGTGTGTGTGTGTGTATGTGTGTGTATTTGTGTGTGTGTGTGTGTGATTGTGTGTTCATGTGGATTGGCGCGAGCGTGCAGGCTGCTGCGCCAACTCGACCGTATTTCCCGCTTGTCACGTCCAAGATTTGTGTTGTGAACGTGTGCTTGCATGTGAACGTGTGCATGTGTGCGCGTGTGCAGTTGAGGCAACAGATTCTGGAGCAGCTTGCGAGCACAGACGACCCAACACAGACGCTGCTCATGGGCAAGAAGGCGCTGCTGGAGCGAAGAAAGGCGCAGATGAGCATGTTCAAGGATACCTCTCACACATACACGGTACCACACGCCTGATGCCGTGTGTATGTGTGTCCGTATGTGTGTACGTATGTGTGTACATGTGTGTACGTGTGTACATGTGTGTATGTGTGTACGTGTATGTGTGTGCGTGTGTATGTGTGTGTGTGTGTGTGTGCGTATGTGTGTGTGTGTGTGTGTGTGTGTGTGTGTGTGTGTGTGTGTGTGTGTGTGTGTGTGTGTTGTGTGTTGAATTTACCCTTATGATGCTAGAGTGTGCTGACTAGTTAGCGGTGTAACTACGCCTTCTTCCGCATATTGTATGCTCAGCATCTGATCGCTGGGGGGGGAACGAGGGGAGTGTTTTGTTCGCGTGAGAAAGTCCAGCGGGACGCGGGGATATGACGTGATGTGCAACTTTGATAGAGATATTGAGCTCTACCCAGACCACTAGGTCCACTCCCCTCGCTGCATGACATTTTTCTAACGACTCTACTGTACTACGTATACTTGTGCATAAGGCGCTTAGTAACAGAGGTATCGTCAAACTGGCAGAGGAGC